TGTAACTCAACATGCCCTCTTGCACCTGACAATAAGTACGTCAACGCTTACAAATTGATGGTTCCAGACTCATCCACGATATCAGGGCTGTTTCAACTGTCTGCATACTCCAGCCACAAAACTAGAGTGTAGACCGATGAAATGCAGGGAGCAACTAGACTTCGAAGATTACAACTAAAGAGGGATACCGGTACAACTATGAGAGTGGAAAGAACCAGGCTTGTAAAAAGCTGGGAACTCCAAGATCATAATAGTCTCTGAAGCTATTTCGGTAAAGAAGGACAGACAAGAGCAAGAAAATGGCACGCATCAAAGGTACGTCCCGCGTTCCAAAATGGCGAGAGGTGCGACTTAAAGACACTTCTCGCGATCAAGTGATCAGCGAAACGTCCCCGTGCATTTGACATCCAGGGCACATCGTTGTTGGGGAATCCCCAATAGGGGGGGGGGTCGTATTTGGTCGCCAGGAGGGGGTCGTATTTGGGCTGAGAAAAATTTATTTTGATAGTTGATTTTTCTCGCTTCATGGACGTTGTAAAGGGGGGGGGTCGTATTTGATCATTTTTGGGAGGGGGGTCGTATTTACGTTTTGGCGTTGTGGGAGTGGCGGTTGACTTTTGGTGATTTTCCTGTTTCACGTACTATATGCCCCCCCGCTCGACAGCAAAATTTTTGGTAAAAAGTAGGGAAGTTTTCGGGAAATTTTGGAAAAAAGGGGCAGGAAGTTGGGGAAAATCTGATTGTAGAGGGGGGGGGTCGTATTGTCTCGCGGCTTTTCCTGTTTCACATGTGCTATTTACCCCCCCCCCCTCGATTCGATGAGGAAGGACAGAGGGCTGGGGGGGGGGGGGGGGGGGTCGTACCAACTCCCAAAAAAAGGGGGGGGGTCGTATAGAGTCGACTAAAATCCCAACCAATGATGTGCCCTGTTAACATCTTTGTTCGCACTCCCAGAGAACATACCATTTCGTCACTCGAAATGGCGAGATAGCGAAGCTAGATTCGCGTGAGTTTTGCAACCGGTGCAACCGCGTACTGTACTCTGCAAGACAACGGCTTACAAGCGGAATTGCGTGTGTACATAGCGTTGCCTGGAGCGTCGTAGGGCGATTTTCTATGCTCTTGCCGTGAATTGGTTGCACCTAGAATCCTGCTGATTAGGCTTGTCCTCATGATGAACTCGTCTAAGGCGCCGGCCCCACTGCTACAGGGGGTCTGTGCTCAGGGTGTTCACAACCTTTTTCGCTTCGCCTTAAGTTTTTTTGATGGGCTACTGTTTAATGACTGAGCACGCTACCTATTACACCTTATCGCGGGAATTGTCTTTAAATGACAAGGTGATGAAAGATACAATTAAAAAAGCAAGGGGAAAAACGTCTAAAGTCTCCTATACGGTTGAACCCCTGCCGATCGAGCTTATCCGCGTATGAAGCAAAGAAAGAGCTTGGTTGGACGAGATATCACAAGGTGGTACAGTCGTTGCGGACTATGCTGCGTGGCCGGCAGGTCTGACGAGCCAAACCCGTTTTCCACCAGCTGTTGACCAAGCTGCGAAAGATGGAAAATGACTGATACGAACGACATGACACAGTCTTGCCGCTTGCTCGCTTCAACAACTGGTGGAAAACGAGTTCGGCGCCGCGCCAAATCCATCCCGCCTGACATCACCTTTAGACGCAGCGAACACGACTTTATCACACTTTCCTCTCATCACTTCTCTCACCGTTCGAAATGATGACCTAGCAGCGGCATAAACTCAGCATCAGGGAGCCTTTAGAAAGGAAAGTCGGGTGGCGCATTGGGCAGTGGGCGTGGCGTCGCTCTAGTGGTGACAGAGTCGGACTTTCCTCAAGCACTTTCATGCTATGAAAGTGGTACACCCTCTGTGCCAGCGAACAGGACTAGCATGTTGAAGAAGGCGTCTGAACTTCGAGTAAACGCGGAGCGTGCCTTTGAAGGACGGCTGTACGTTTTCCGATGATGTTGTTTGAACAGCAGGGGCGATGGCTTTTGGATCAGGGCACGTCGTTGTTGGGGAATCCCCAACAGGGGGGGTCGTATTTGGCCGCCAGGAGAGGGGGGTCGTATTTGGGCTGAGAAAATTTATTTTGATAGTTGATTTTTCTCGCTTCATGGACGTTGTAAAGGGGGGGGTTGTCTTGTCCTCTAAAGGGGGGGGGTCGTACAGACTCGACTAAAATCCCCACCCAATGATGTGCCCTGTTTTGGATTTATTTCTGAGCGAGCGAACTCTGAGCGACTGAGACTGAGTGCTGTTGGGTGCTTCCGTGTATGACGTCTTTAACGATATTGCTGAATAACCAACAACCTTAGCCACTTACACGAGCTTCAAGATTAATTTTGTTTTCTTGAATTGCTCTAAGAACGTGGTTGATTAAACGTTCCTGAAAAGGAATAGAAATTTCGAGATCGTTCGAAAAAGAATTACATGGACGATAAAAGCCACCTTCGCTACGTTCCCCTCCTCTTGTTCTACCAACCTCCTATTTTGAGTGATTAGAATGCTCCTTGAATTTTCCGCTCGGCCACGTCCTCAAATCGAACGCATGACTTCAAAACGGTTGAAAACATTCCGTCTGGAAACTCACCTCTTCGCTGCACGTGCGCAATCTCATTTGTGGCGCAGTTGTACTTGACGACAAGATTGCATTCCGCAACATCTAGTCCTTCATCAGCCACCGATGTCGCCACAAGTACACGAGTTTCGCCTTTCCGAAACCTAAATACACCATCATAACAGCTTAGGCAGCGTTCATACTTTGCATCAGCGTTTTGAGCGTATGCCAGCGTACGGCAGCGTTTTGAGCGACTACTAATGTAGTATCGATCTAGCTAGCGTTTCGAGTGTGCGACAGCGTTTTCAGGGACTGCCCGCGAAAAGTCCGATACCACCCACGAGATGCTTGAAAAGCTGGCGTACGCTCAAAATGCTGACGCAAGTATGAACGCACTCCTAAAAACCTCACAGGAATAAGTCTTGTTCAAAGTTGCCACGGCTGTGATTTAGCAATTACACCTCTCGAAAATGTGCGGCAAGGAAATTGAAGATCTGTGGTTGCTTGATATTACTGATGTCTCTACCCGTCACTCTACGCGCCACACGAACAGGCTTTACGCCCTACGACCACGTTTTGCGCCACGTCATGCTCGCTGCTTGTCTACGACCTCTCAATCGAGATTATTCGTCACGCTTCAGGCAGGTGGGGTCTCTTTTGACGTGCTCGATCTGTCTTCTTGAGAGAAACCTCCATGAAGCCCATGGAACCTATTTCAGTGAGAGGGCGCAGACGAGCAGCGCGTATGACACGGTCGCATATCGTATCGAATTATGGGCAAGGGCACAAGAAACACGAAAAGGTGTAACATTTGCAATTTTGCAAGAAAAAATAAAAGAAAGGAGGGTAAGTCTTTGAAGGGGTGGGAAGAAGTTTCAAGACTCCACTGCTAAACTGACCCTACTGTATTCTAGAACGCCCTCGAACAAAAAATCGCCCTTCCTCCCATTGTAGCTTCGTCACTCAAGAACAGACGAAAAGCTTCATTTCTATATCGGTAATCCTACTTCTGGAGGAGGAGAGGTCTTCCAAATGCCCTTCCCCTCGGCCAAATTGCGCCCAAGAAAACGTTTGGACACATACCTCCGCAATTTCTCCAGCTGCTCGCGTTTTGTCGTCGTCTCAAATGTCCCCCTATTCAGACCTGAAAGTACGTAGAAAGAAAGAGAATCACACTATCATGAACAAGCTAGGCAACCTTCAGACTTCGCGATGACGCGCGTCGACGCGCACTAACGCGCTGTAACACGCACCGACGGGCTGCCATTGCAACCGCGCTCCAGTGCTAGACGGGGACGCATCTACAGCCGGATAACGATCGGCGCCGCCCTACTGCTTTGAAAGAGTACGGGAGAATAAAAGGGTACGCGCTGCCCTATTGCACAGCCCGGCACCCTTCCATTCTCCCATACTCCCTCAGAAAAGTAGCAGGCCGACGCTGATCGATACTTATCTATGGTTCCTTTCCTCCTCGTAGCATTATAACGCGGTTGTATTGGTGACGCGCCGACGCGCGTCATCACAAAGTGTGAACGCTCTCTGACTTATTTATTCGATCACGCACAGTGCGCTTTTAAAACGCTTGAGCTGTATAAAATCGGATCGAAACTTCAATCTTACCTAAAATCAAATTAAGGTAACATACGAACGCTAAAATAGGTGAAAAGTCTCCAGTCAGATCTTTGTCAGGAGAATAAAACTTGGTGAAAAAGCTAGATCTTCACCAGTTTTAGGGGTCCTTCGAGCTGGGTCATTCCTCATTAACTCGATGAAATTAACTTCAGTGGCGGATGACGCTAGGGAAAACGTCACTACTAGACGACAACCAAGCATGGAATCGGAAACTGAATATTCCCTCCCTAACAGTTCACCCTCTATGACTAACAGCACCCTAGGTGTAGGCTCTTGAGGGTTAAATCGTAGTCATAGCGACTAGAGACCTCCCCACCTACGGTGAGAGCCCAATTCAAGTAAGATGTAAGATTGCACAGGAAGGTAGTAACAAAACAAACAAACAAAACAAAAACATGAGGGTTAACACTGAAAGAATTAAAAAAATAAATATCGCGCTTTTTCTTTCTACGGCTGGACTGCGGGTTGTGAGTAACATTGCGAAGGAATGATACATAGCTCACTAAAATAAAAAAAAAACTGAAAGAAAAGCTGGACCTAGACAGAGAGATCTCAGGAAACTTGAATACCAAGATATAGAATAGATCAACTTTCTCTCAGAAAACTTGAATACCAAGAAATAGAATAGATCAACTTTCTTCAGCTTGCTCTCGAAAGCGGGAATATTCTGAGCCTCGAGAACTTCAGCAGGCTAGCAGCAGAAGCCATCTCGCCCCACGGAAAAGAGAGCTGTAAGTCTTACTCCGTTGTTTCTCTTTAGTATAAAGCACTGCAGAGAGAGCTTGAAGTTGCGCCCTCTACAAGGCCTAAACGCCCAGCACTTGGTCTGCCTTACATTCAGTTCGCCTTTCAACAATTTGAAGCAAAATACTATCTCTCTATATATAAACCAGAAGTTGTTTGTGTGTCTGTGCGTCTGTCTGACCGCCTGAAATTGGGGTTTCGTGGAAATTCACTTAAGGGAACTGATTGTGCTTGGAATAGACGTGGCATGGGCCAGCATTTGCAGAGCACACACAGGCTCACCTAAGCTCCGCCCACAATGGGCGGGCGTTCGCCGAAGTGGACAAAGCCGAGGATAAAAATCCTCAAAACGCATCCGGAGCAGACCAGAAACGGGGAATATGAGTGAAACTGAGCAGCGAGGTAGGTAGATGAATTGAGAAAGAGACACCCGTAAGCAGTATATTCTCTAACGGTTAGGGCCTTCGCGGTAGTTCATTGTTTCATTGCAAATCCTCACCACTACGAAGTGGTTGCAATAGAAAATTTTGATGACTGTGATGATTGTCTTCTAAGGGGGGAGGGGTATATACAACGAATGAAACGGTAGAAGTTCGGTAAATTTTTGAAAAAAATTTTTTGACGAATAACTGGACACAGGAAAAACTCTGGGGCAAAATCCCACTTCACACGCATGAAGGAGGATCGCCCGCCTTCGGTCCGACTGGTATCATTGAAAACGTGCCGGTAAGGAAGTGTCCTGAGTCCAAATCTGTACAGTCGCTCTCTGTAATCCGGCATACAACACGATAAGCTAGATTTGGGCCGTAACCATGCACCAGTATTCTCGTGAAGGTACGCTGTACCTTCTTTTTTCCTTAAGCTTTTTTGAACAGGGGATCCATACTTGTGACCCGTACTCTCAAATTGGAACAACGGAATTCTCGTGAAGTTTCGAGAAAGTTGAGGCATCATTTTAGTGAACGTTTCCGAAAATAGTTAAGAGCACCAAAAGCTATTTTTACAATTTCACTAATTGACGATCGAAATCCAGATCCGAGTTTATATGGATTCCCAGATCACGTACTTCTTCAGTGGTTTGCAGTACGGTACCATTGAAATCATACGGAGTCTTGAGCCTTCCCCATGAAGGGCATCGATTTCTTTCCAAGATTCACAAGTATCCTTCAAGCCTCAGCCCAAAATAATTGCCCACCTGCGATGCATTCTACTCGAATCCCGTCTGCATTCACGAGGGGATGCTTATTGAGCATTTCAGCTAGCACAGAGGCTCCTCTTCGTGTTCGAATAAACACTATGGTTCGCGAGTCTTTGCCGCTATTATTGCGTATATGCCTGAATACAACTCCCTCGTTGGAGAAAAGTTAAGCTGAGGGAAACAGAAAGAAAAGTAGTACGTACTTAACAAGTTCCGAGATAAGAACATTGTCGGGTGTTTGACAAGCACTCAGCCTTGCGGAGTACTCTGAAAACGATAGGTCGTCGAAACACAAAATTATTCACTGAAGAGTCGTTGGCGCAGTTCCCACGGGGGGGGGGGGGCATTTTGCACTTTCGCTGCTTCACTAGTTCCGGTTTACAAGTCTCACTCTGGTGAAACCTGTGAACTCTTGTGAAGCTGGAGCAAGCTCGTCGAGCCACCATGGTGAAACCTGTCAACTCTTGTAAGCTCATGAAATGACTCTCTAGATGGCTGAACACGTCGGTGGGAAGTAGCAAAAGTGCAAAATGCCCGTCCGCCGTCGCAGAACTGCCCAAATTGTCTATTGCAAATATATCCACACGCCGGGCAGGACTTCCGGATTTGCTCTATAGTGACCTCTACTTACTTAACCATTGCTCCTGTGAAAAGTTGGTTAACGAGCCCTTCCGGAGAGCCATTTGTTCGTTCAAATACTTGAACGATTCTGCACTAGAGAAATCTTCGTACATTTCGATCGCACGGTAAAGGTTCTAAAACAGTATAAACAATTGAAAATGGACAATGAGAAAAACTTGCGAAACTTACTTCAAGAATTTCCAAAATCTCTATGGCTTGGGTTTTTGCAGTTTCGCTGGAAAACACGGTCTCAGGCATCAAACGTCGTAGATGCGTGCTGACCCAATTTAAGTACGCTGCAAGTTGAAGTTGATAAGGATTTTCCATGGGGATCAGTTTCAAAGACAGATTGTACACTCACCTTCAAGAACGGCCCTTCCATGTGCGTGGTGAAGGAACCGCAGCTGCAGCAAAAGACCTTTCTCTCCTCTAAAAGTGCAGGAGAACGAGGATGGAGCGTGGTGATCCCTGGGCGCCGCTATCATACTCCGTCCCCGCTATCTGCAGCACTTATGTCGCTACCAAAATCCAGCAGCGAAAGACGCGCTCGGTAGTGAAGAGCACAAACGGAAGAGAGAGGGTGCAGGCAAATATCTCGCTGCCTATGGTTAGGCGTGTCGTACTAACAGCCGGTCGCCTAATCATGGCCAAACGAGCTACATGTCTGCACTCTCTCTCTCCTCTGGTTGTTCTCTACCGCTGACATGAGTGCGTGTTTCGCTGCGGGATTTTGGTAGCGACGCAAGTGCTGCACATTGAAGATATCGCCGGACGTGTATGGAGACAGCACTCGGGTACCATAAACTTCAGGCGTTCCCGTGCAATGTCGACCGGAGAAAGTGGGACGTTACTGCAGCTGCGGACTCATTCGCCTCACCCATTGCAAGGACCAGAATCCACAGAAATGAGTGAATAGTTTGTCGAAAGAAACCAGACTGGAAGCGTCGAGAAAACTCACATTGCGACGTTTTCTCTTCTGGTGCAGGTTCATACTTGGTATATGTGCGGTATGATTTATCGTTAACTCCATCGATTCCTACACTGCTTTCAGGAGATCGCGTCAGCGCCGGTTGTATAGCATAGTTCACTGAAATCGGTTCTTGAAGCGCTAAGTCATGCCCTCACCTTGCTCTGAGTGGCAAAAGACTAGATGGGGTCTATCAACACCTTATATTAGCATATTGCGGGTACACCCAAACAGCGCATTTACTAGAAACGCTAGCGGGGTACCTGATCGACTCACATCTCAAGCTGCGTTTATAATTTCCGTCAGCGTACAGCAGCTTTCCGAGGATCCATCGAAGCATATGAGCGTACACCAGTGTCCACCAAAAGTGGGGAGTATGGGGAAGTAGGAGGGTAGCAGGCTGTTCGATTAGACGCTGTGAAATTGCGGGCGTGTGCAACCGCATCTAGAACCGCTAAAGCACAGATTTATGCAACCATGATGTACGGTGTAGTGCAATTGTACGCTGCGGTTGCACACGACGTAACTCCACAACGCCTAATCTAGCAGTCTGCTACCCTCCTACTTCCCCATATTCTCCAGTCTTGGTGGAAGCTGGCGTGCGCTGACGTACGCTGACAAAGTATAAACGCAGCCTAACTCCTTCACATTGCGAAACCTTTAAATGTATATTACATTACATTTTTCTTCCGCGCATCCCCCAATGCTGCTATTTTCTAGACTGCGAAGTATGAATGCCTCTCTTCTTCTCCTTAGCGTTAGTCCCGCGCCGTCGCAGGGTCCGCTGTTCTTGTTAGACGTCGCCACTTGTTCCGATCCACTGCATCTTCTGCTGTGGCTTTCACTTCAGTGAGGTCCTTCTTGATGACGTCCCTCCATCTTTTCTTTGGGCTCCTCGTGGTCGCTTGCCCTCTGCTTCGAATTCCAATGCCTTCCTTATTGGTGGTCCTCAGGCCTTCTCAGCACGTGCCCATACCATCGCAGTCGCTGCTCTCGTGCCTTCAGCTGGATCGGAGCGGTCTGTGTGACCGCCCTGACGTCCTCGTTTCTGACTCTGTCGAGTCGTGTCCAGCCGCAGGCCCATCTCAGCATCCTCATTTCAGCTGAGTGGAGCTGCCTTTCATGGTTCTTGCAGATAGGCCAGCACTCACTGCCGTAGAGCATTGTAGGCCTTACCACCGCCCGGTACACCTTGCCCTTGAGCGTTCTCGAGCACCGCCGGTCGCACAGGATGCCAGTGGACTCCCTCCATTTCATCCAGGCTTGATTCGGGCCTTCACCGCCTGGTCCACGCTGCCATCAGCTGCTAGGTTGCTCCCAGGTACTGGAAGTCCTCGACCCTTTCGATGCTCTCGCCATGGCAGTCTACGATGGGTTCGTTACACTCTTCGGAGCTTAGGAACTTGGTCTTCTTCACGTTCAGCCGGAGTCCATTCTCAGCGAGCACATCCTGCCACCGCTGCACCTTGTCCTGGAGTTCTCCCTGCTGTCCGCTATCAGGGCGATGTCGTCAGCGTAGAGGATGGTTTTCAGTGGTCCCTCCATGAGTTCTTTTGCCATGACATCTAGAGTCAGGAGGAAGAGGAACGGGCTGAGGGCTGATCCTTGGTGTACCCCAACCGTGATGTTTACCTCCTTCGTCAAGCCGTGCGGGGTGCGTACAGCTGCTTTAGCCCCATCGTACATATCCTTTACTATGGAGACCAGGTGCTCCGAACGTTACGTTCTAAGCGCTCCAGAGTACAGGCCGAGGCAGGCGGTCGAATGCCTTCTCAAGGTCCAGGAAGGCTAGGTAGCAGGGTCGCCGCTTCTCTCGGTACTTCTCCATCAGCTGTCTGGCGATGAAGATGGCATCGGTGGTGGACCTCTCGGGCATGAAGCCGAACTGTTCCTGCGAGATAGGGACAAGTTCCCTCAGCCTAGTGTTGACCAGGCGCTCGTACAGCTTCATGGTATGGGGAGTCAACTTGATGCCGCGGTAGTTGGAGCACTCCGTCGCGTCCCCTTTCTGTTTGAAGATGGGGACGATTGTGCTGCTCCTCCACGCATCCGGCATCCTTCCTTCAGCCGTTATTGTTTAGGAAGTCTGTTAGCCAACTCACCTCCAAGCTCTCCAGGGCCTTCCATGCCTCTATCGGCACCCCGTCTGGACCCACTGCTTTCCCAACTTTCATTCTCCCTAGCTCACGGCGGACTTCATCCTTCGTCCAGGGAGTGATGGGACCTGCCGTCGCCTCTATCTGTGGGCTATCCTTGCGAGGGAATTCTTCGTTCAGAGTCCCTCGAAGTATTCTTCCCACCTCTTTCTGACTTCGGCTGGTTTCCTGAGAATGGCCCCGTTGCTGCTCTTCACAGTCTTTACGACCCTGATGTCCTGAGCTGCGATGCCAGCTTTAGCCAGGCGGAAGACGAACTTGTCCCCTTCTCGGCCTTCCAGCTTGTCGTACAGGGCGTCCATTTCCGTATTCTTGGCCTTAGCAACGGCTGCCTTAGCGAGTCGCTTGCAGCTCTTGTAGGCAGCGTAGTCTTCTGGGCTCCTTGTCTTTTGCCAGCGTTTATGCTTCCTTCTTCTGCTTGACGATCCCCTGGACTTCCTCATTCCAGAACCAGGCTTCCCTGTCTCCTTTGAT